GGCAGTGGGATCCAGGAGCTGGATCTTGTCCTGGTGAGGAATACAGATGTAATTCCCACATAGACTGCAGAGTATAGCCCATTCCTATATTTATATTTCACAGAATCACACAATTGTTAGGGTTGGAAGATACCTCTGGACATCATCTAGTCCAACCCTCCCACCAAGGCAGAGTAGCCTAGAGCAGGTTACACAGGAACGTGTTCTGGTGGATTTTGAATGTCTCCAGACAGGAAGACTCCACAAGCTCCCTGGGCAGCCTGTTCCAGTGCTCTGCCCCACTCAATGTAAAGAAGTTCTTCCTCATGTTGATGTGGAACTTCTTGTGTTTTAGTTTATGGCCATTGCTCCTTGTCCTGTCACTGGGCACCACTGAAAAGAGTCTGGCACCAACCTCTTGACACCTGCCTTTGAGATATTTATATGCTTTAATGAGATTCCCTCTAAGTCTTCTCTAGACTAAACAGGCCCAGCTCCCACACTCTCTCCTCATCAGAGAGATGCTCCATCATCTTTGTGGCCTTCAGTTGGACCTCTCCAGCAGCTCCTTGTCTTTCTTGAACTGTGGAGATCCGAATTGAACACAATACTCCAGATGTGGTTCCACTAGGGCCCAGGAGAGGGGGAGGATCATCTTCCTTGACCTGCTAGCCACACTCTTCCTGGATACTATTAGCCCTCCTGGCAGCAAGGGCACACTGCCAGCTCATGATCAACTTGTCATCCACCAAGACTCTCAGGTCCTTCTCTGCAGAACTTCTCTTTAGTAGGTCAGCCCCCAACCTGTATTGGTACTTGGCATTATTCTTCCACAGGTGCAGGACCCTACATTTGCCCTTGTTGAACATCATTAGCTTTCTCTCTGCACAATTCTCCAGCCTATCGAGTTTCCACTGAACAGCAGCACAGCCTTCGGGTGTATGGCTCCATTTCTTCTCCACAAAGGAAAAGCAAGCAAGTATGGCCAACAAGGATACTGTTATGGGGAGGAAACCTGTGAGAAAACATGGACTACAGGTATACCTAGGAACTCTTCAGATACACTCTCTGAAACAGAGACATTCATCCACCTTTTTCTGTCCTGTTTGGTCCACCTTCATACTTCACCTGTTTTATAGCATTCTGCTTTTATTTTACAAACTAATTTAAATAAAGCCCTTAAAAAATACCCTTAAGTTTGATATGTCTCTGCACAACCCCCCCAAGGCTCTCAGCCCTGAAGAGTCAAGTCAAGATATAAGAAAGAGACAGCTATAACTGGAACTGCTGCTGCAAACAGGATTGAGCAAGGCAGTGTTAAAAGCGAAATCACCAGGAAAGGACAGAAAATAAAAGGAGAAAAGAGAGAGAAAGGAGGAAGAACCTGACTGCAAAAACCAACTATTCATAGCTGCCCATACAAACATACTGCACCAATCAAATGCTCTATGCAAGGAAAAGCTACTCCATATTATGAAAGATCTTGTATGGGACTCCCTCGTGGACTACCTTCCCAGCACTGACAGGGAAATATAGTGGCTGCAGCTGGTGCTGGCACTTTCACAGCAGGTTCTCCCCGGGTTCTCTGGTCTCATCCGACAGCCATCTGCTCTTTCTTGGCCTCTCAGAAGCACAGACACAGCAGATCTTTTTCATGTGCTGCAGATCAAACTCAGCTCTTACCCTGAGGGGCTCCCTGTCTTTTCCACAGACACACTGCAGCTGCAGACAAAAACTGAGCACTCAAGAAGGTTGCCTGTGAATGGCTTCATAAGCCATCAGGGTTAGGAAGAAGTCACAGAGAAACAACCAGCAACACTTCTGTGGCTGCTGACAGACCCTGCTAACCGGTTCACGTGGAAGATGTCCTGTTTTAACATGAGTTAGCAATGATGCTGGCAAAGCAGCCACGGTAATACATTACACCATAAAGTACCGCTGACAAAAAACTACTAGCCGGGACAAAGATGAGAGCTCACTAGTTTATACATTCTTGCCACAGACTCTACAAGTCAGTGACACCGAACACCCTGTGCCCTGGCACTCTCCACACACACACAGAGCACAAACAAGGGTTCTGTGCATAGCCATGGCTTTCTCCTCTCCAGCACTGACTTCCCTGACAATGGCCAGAGGTTACCAGTACCTACACAGCCTTCCTCACTGTGCTTCTTGGGGATCAGCACCTAGTGTTCAGGACATGTTAATGCCTTTTCCCTACGAGCAAGTGGCCTCTTCATTTGTCAACTTCCTGAACTCAAAGTATAATTCTTCTGACGAAGTCACCACCATTCATCTCATGAATGTTCTGCAGTGAACAGCAGAAGCATCTCTCTTGGTAAGTTCCAGGAGGGAACCAGAGTGTAATATGTTGCCTCTGTCATGCACAGCCTCTGCTAGATGAACCTAATGGAAAGCAAGGCATTTCACTCCCACCACACTGCAACTCACCTGAGAAACTCTGCCAAGACATTCCACAGTGACAGTTTCTCTGGGAAGCTAAAGGGGCACATTATTTTCAGCACATCACCCTGTTGTTCAGGTCCTCAAGGCTGCCGTCATATAAAGCTGACTCCTCGAATGGCTGCTGACACAGATCCAATAGGAACACATGTAACATCAGATCTGCATCCCCAGCTTCAATCCGTGTTGGAGCACCCTATTTTCGTCCAGTTAAGGATCACTTCAGTATTAGAGATGGTTATAATTTTTCTGTCAAAAATACAAATAAGCTTAAAAACTTGGTTTGTTTCAGACTTTTTTTTCCCTCAAGTAAAGAGATAAATCTCCTTTTCCTAAGAGTGACTAGACACTTTTTTTTTTCCAAGCTGATTTCATTTTATGCCTATACCACGGGGTCTGAAAACCCATCTTACAGGTTGAAGCAATAAAGAAACCTTGCATAAACTCCCTTTATACCATCTGCCAGGATTACTTTGCAAAGGTCTCTGTGGCATTCTGGAGTCCATGTGAAGGCAACAGCACCCTGGATAAACAAGAGGAACTTGATCTAGGGATTTAGGGAAAACAGCATGGGAGGTGCCAGGCTGAGACCTTTAAAAATTATATCACTAATTACAGAATAAGAGTGCTACAGAGAAGCAACATGTCAGCATATTGTCTACTGGTATGATTGCATTCAGTAATGAACACTGTTTATTCTGAAACATGGCACAGATGGTACATACAGTATCACGGAAATAAGGAGCCCTCTGTGCACCGTTCTCTTCACAGCTTACATTACTGTTAATATTTTCTGTCTATGTTTATTGCAGGCATAAAAATGTAAGCAGCGAGTAATAAATCCATTAATTTTCTGTACCTCTGTAAGGTCTTTGCAAACGTCAGTGGTACAAAAAGCCTAGTGTTTTACTTTCTTTCCATTAAGTAAGAAATCAGTTCATAAAGTTGCAGGTTTTCTTCCTTCTCCTGGGTTTTCTCCAACAGCAGTTTAAAATTCCAGTTTACTGAACACACATAAACTGTTACTGATAGCATCAGGCAGCACAGCTGTTGACTATTTTGCCCAGCATTTTTTAAAAGGGGACACAAAAACTATGCATGCTTGTAAAGTCTTGTATTTATAGCTCTACTGACACAAGTGAGCTCTGTCTAATACCAGCCCTGTATTGCTGAATAGTTTCTTACCATTAATTATTATTATGTGAAATGCTGAATCGTGAAATCAATATTAAGGAAAGTGAACTTTCAAGCTTTCAAGCCCCTTTTCTGCCAGACAAGCAACTACATAGGAAAACACCAACAACTTGTACCTTAAAAAGAATGAGAAGCTGAAAAACATGGACATTCCAGTTTTAACACATAAACTTTAATCCCAGCATAGCTAAGAGTAAAATCCAACTCATGAATCCTATTTCAAATTGAATGCTTTCTTGTTTTAATATTCTTTCTTTAATTTTCAATCCCTGCACATTCAGGTACACTTCTGATTTGGTGGGATCCTGAAGGATATTTGGTACGTAACCACATAACTGCAGATGCCAATAAAATGGAAACACAGAGGTGATAATATGGCAACTTCAATTTGAAAAGCCAATCTTAATTTTGGTCTTTCCTAGTTTTCACATTTTTTGATTATATAATTTTAATACTTAAAAAAACCAAACCACAAGATCACAAAAAAACAGTTATAATGCACAATCCCAAGTAATTACTTCTTCCCAGAGTTACTATCGAGGTCTCTTCCTACAACCTGAAATTCAACAGACATGAATATTGCTTGAGTAAACAATAAGTAATTAATTCGAATAATGCTGAATTAATTCTTTTGTTTCTAACTTACTCTAAAGTACTATAAAGAATTAGGAATGAGAACAGACAGAAATCAGACTCTTCCCAGTTTCCACCCCAGATGCCCATCGTGGCTACAAACATAGTTTCACACTACTCCAAACCAACTGAAGTGCAAAGAAAAAGTATAAATTAAGACAGGCAGGCCTTTAGCACATCACTTGGCTGAGAAAACAGCTGGATTTGCTTCATTTTACTGAATGAGAGGAATGAGAGGAATTCTCAACTTCGTGGGCCTTCCCTTTTCCAACCGGGCCGAGAGTCTCAAACTTCCCGAACCACTATGACAGTAACAGGAAATGCTCGGCACTGATGCTCAGCACCGCTAACAGCACGTCTCCAGAAATTTAGCGGCAATTTACGCCAACAGCGACTTCCAGCAGAAAACTCTTCCCAGCGTGCCGGGCGGGCCGGAGCAGCTCCCCCGGCTCCGCCGCTGTGGGCTCCTGGCGCACCTGCTGCCTAGAAGGAGACGAGGGAAAAAAAAATCACCCCAAATTACACCGTTCAGGAGCACCAGCGCGCGAAGAGCATGTGCTGCCAAGAATGCCCAGGGCAGGTAACACAGGTATCCCAATGCCTCCCGCCGGGCCCCAGCAGCGGGCGCGGACGGTCCCAGCCGCGGGCAGCGGGACATGCTCAGTGCGAACCGCGGGCTCCGCCTTCGCCTGACCCGGATACAGACGGCGCTGCCGCTCCGCCGGGGAGCGTGGAGCCGGTCCGGCCCCGCCGCAGCAGAGGGAGCGGAGCGCCCCGGCGGTGCCATGGGGCTGTGCTGAGCGCCCGGCCCCGCCGCCCGCCCGTCCCGCGGCGCCCCCCTGCCCCCCGGCCATGGCCCCTATGGGCATCCGCCTCTCGCCGCTCGGCATGGCCGTGTTCTGCCTGCTGGGGCTGGGCGTCCTCTACCACCTCTACTCCGGCTTCCTGGCCGGCCGCTTCGCCTTCTTCATGCTGAGCGAGCCGGCGGCCGCCGGGCCCGAGACGCCCCACGGCTCCGCCGCCGGTGGCGCCGTGGACCTGCGGGAGCTGCTGGCCGTGTCCGTCCTGGCCGCCACCAGGGGCGGGGAGGAGGTGAAGCGGGTCCGCGAGGGGAACGTCCTCAACGCCAAGGCGAAGGGGAAGACGCGGGAGGGGGCCGAGGAGCAGCTGACGACCGGCGACCTCCTCTCCAACCGCAGGATGTTCTACCTGCTGAAGAGCGCCTTCCCCGCCGTGCAGGTGGGTGCCCAGCTCCCGCTGCGGGGCCGGGGGGCTGCCGAAGGCCGTGGCTGGTAGACCCCGCTACCAGTACCGGTGTGGAGCCCCAGCTGGGCTACTCGTCACCGGCGCCTCTCCGGTCTGTAAGCGCTGGCGGGAAGCACTGCCCTCGATTTGCGTTTTTTCCTTCCCCTCACGCTGAATTTGTGGCAGTGCCACCTCATGCTTGTTGCCGGGGGTGTTGGGTTGCAGGGGAAGGAGTTGGTGCGTGTTGTAAGCGAAGCCACGCGAGGTGATAGAGTACGAAGTAATACGGGCGTGGAGGGGTGCGGGAAACACCGAGTCTCACCGTTGTGGATTATGCGTTCTCTGGTTAAGGATACAAGTAATTTCGCAGCGCAAATTCCGCGTGTGCTTAAAGTGCTGAGATTAGGAATGCTGTTATTTTCGTAGTTGTCTTTCCTGCCTTCAGTTAGAGGAAGAGCCAGGAACGGCGAGAAGCAATTTAGAATCTGAGGTTTAGGAACATAGCGCCGCAGTAACAGTGTTTATCTCTCGCGACTGTGGGACAGCAGATAAGTTAACAGCTGTGTCACGCTGTGGAGCACTGCCTACGTGGGCAAAATGAGTTTACTTTGTTTTCAGAGGTGTACGCACCCCTCCCTGCTCTCCTTCGCTTCTGAAATCTGGGTCTAATACTTCAAGTCACACCCAAACCAGAACTATACTTTGAGGCTTTTTGGGGTTTATTGGCATTGTTTCTGCTTTTGCTTCAGTAAATGGGAACTGCTGTCTCGATGTTAAATTCCTTAGTTTTTCACAGTCATTTGAAATGGCTAGAAACCCCTAAATTTGGATTTAAAAGGTGGTGATTGCATGCTTCTCCTGGACAGGTTGAGAGAAAAAGTAGTTACATTTATATTTTGGTTGTTTAGTTACTACACAGTGAGTTTTTAGTGGCTATTTTGGAAGTTCCTCAGGGTAGTGTGTCATTTTTTGTTTGTTGACTTTTTTGTTTGTTTGGATTTGGTGGGGTTTTAAAGTGTTTTAAAGAACCTGTTGAATATGAAATCTAAAGAAACAACAAATTCTTCAGTGTTTGAAATAAACTTGATATGTGATGAATCTTCCCGTGCAGAAAAATCATGAAGGTTCTGTATGTAAGGGACAAACCAACTTCACAGGCTCTACGTTAAAGGAGGAAAAAGTATTGACCCCTATTCTCTTTTATTATTCAGTGTCCTCATGGAGCTTGGCATTACAGCTTACCTGGGTCACAGCCTGAAACCTGTTTGCTTTCCCCCCTTTCACAGACAGAGTGACTTCATTAATCTAGATATAAGAGTTGCCTGTGCTTCTAGAGAAGACTGGATTTTGGTCTGGGCTTGAAGAACTCAGGGAACTGTTCTGTGTCTGTGGTCACATGTGTGAACTCCACTGTGGTGCCTGGGATTCTTAGCAGTGACAGCCTGACTTGTGTGTCTTTCTCTTAGAGGGTGCTATCTTCAAACATCTACTTTTGTAGATGGCCAGAAACAGTACTTCAGTACTGTTTTTCATTTTTTTACAGTTGACTCGTGCTGCTAGTGTTTAAGAATAGATGGTACTGTATAAAATGCAGGTGTGTTCTCAAAACCAGTATGAAGACAAAAATGTGTGTATAGGTCTGTGGAAATACCAGGCATATGTCTTTCCCTTTTCCCCGCTCCTCCTCAGATTGACTGAGCTTGAGCATTGAGGATGTCCAGGAAGAATGCATTTGACAGATTTTTCAGGTGATCAGGAGTTATTCAATCTGACAGATCAGCTCTGGGATGTTTAGTATTCTAAGTCCATGATGTGGATAATAACAGCTTATCTCATTGGTGTTTAAAAATATTCGCTAAGCTGTATATACTAATAAGACATTCTGTCTCTTAAAGTCTGTGATGAAGATGTATTCATAAACATTTGCCCAAACCAAAATAAAAGCTTTCTTTTACTATATACATACTATATACACTTCTCAGGTGTAAAGACAAGATATCACCTCCATCTGCAAATCCTGCATGCATAACTTCAGAATAACGCATCTAAAACTTCAACTCTTTCGTAGAACAGACCTGCTGCAGTTTTGATGTTAATATAAGGATTACAGAGGATTTTCTAGGACAGTATAAAATTGCATCTCATAAGAAGTATCTTACTTTATATTTGTAGCCTTATCCCCCTATACAGAGTGACACTCTAGAATAAAAGACATTGAAGTCAAATAAATCCCCTCTTCTCTCCTTGCAAGAGAAGATGCTGCTAATAAAAGCTGTCAAACAAAAACTGAAATAATTCCAAAAGTAAGTTTAGGCTAAATGCTAATTTTCTCAGATAATGAAACCCTTGAACCTAACAGAGGTACCTCAGTATTTAAAGTGGTGCCAAATGCTGCAGCCAGGAAGAAGACGAACCAGCACAAAAGCTAGGTGCTAAAATATGCCTATAAAGCAAAGGAAATGGGTTTGTTCAGTCTGGAGAAAAGAAGGCTCTGGGGAGACATTATAGTGGCCTTTCAGTGCCTGAAAGGGGCTACAAGAGAGCTGGAGGGGTACTTTTTAGAAGAGCATATAGTGACAGGACAAGAGGGAATGGCTTTAAACTGAAGGAGGGCAAGTTTAGATTGGATATTAAGAAAAAATTCTTTACTGTGAGAGTGGTGAGGCACTGGAACCAGTTATCCAGAGAAGCTGTGGGTGACCCCTCCGTGAAACTGTTCAGAGTTAGGCAGGATAAGGCTTGGTCTAGTGGAAGATGTCCCAGCCCATGGCAGGAGAGTTCGAACAAGATTACCTTGAAAAGGTCCCTTCCAGCCCAAACCATTCTATTATTCTGTGATTCTTAAGAATAGCCATGGCTTTCCAATGTTTCAAAATAACCAAGGGGAGAAGGCATTTGGCTGAAATAAACTTGTCAGTGAGCAGCCTTGGGTTCCTTATTTTGTGCTGCTGGACATAAAAAAGGAAAGCAGGTAAACAGTCTGTCTGAAGCAGATCTTCTCTTAAGGTGTGGTTATTAAGAAAAAATAGACAAGTTAGGCTTCTCACTTGCAGAAGCTGAAATAAATCTGGAAAAAGTCTTACAATACTAGGATTTATAAAAAAACTTCCAAAATCTGAGGGGAAAAAAACCCCACACAGGAAATATTTTGCCTTTGTTCTTTTAGGTAAAGTTGTTGTCTGTACAGGGGAAGAACAACTCAACTGCTTACATCATTTGCTCTGTTTGATATAAATAGATGCAGTTCAAGACTTCTCAAAGTTATGTTAGGTAAAACCAAAGAGAAGCAGATCAATTCTGTTTTATCACTGTGCAGTAGATTGAATGGTGTTGAGTCTTGGTTTTATATCCCTCAGAAACAGGGGTGAGAAAGATAAGGGAGGAAGGGGCAAGTCAGTTGGGTAACTTGGATGTTATGCAGTGTTGTCTGATCACTCTCAGCAATGAATATTGGCATGTGTATTCCCTGAGGTCTGTCTGTACAGTTGATTTTAAAATATACTTAATGCTAAAATATATGCAGCGGTTTCTTAACTGCAGTTACAGGCTTGAGGTGTTCACTGCACCAGTATGTTGTCCTCATCTATTTGTCGTGCTGAGAATGAGTTAAAGCTCTGATCCAGCTGTAATCATCCCCTCTGCTCCTTTTCATTTTTTATTCATCTTGTTTATCTTTTCTGGGTTGCTTCTCTGCTCTCCTTGTTGGTTCTCCATGCAGCCCTATTTATTTCTTGGGCTACACTACAGTGGTGGTACAATAAGGAGTGGGATGGGATTTAGGTGAGGAGATTAAGGACATGATTGAGCCAGCCTTGCTGCTGGGAGGAGAGTGGACTGGAGAGGTAGTCTTTCCAAATTCAATTAGAGACTGGCCAGAAACACTAGTATGTTTTGCTCAGAAGAGCTTCTGTAAAGAAATGATCTCATGATACTGGGGTTTCAGCAGCATTACCTGCTAAAAGATCTCTCTCAGCACCGTGCCTCAGGCTCTTACGTGGCTTGTCTGGGAGTCAGTGTCAGGAGCTTGATAACTGAATGTATCCAAGGTAAAAATTTAAAATAAAGGTTATTTAGGAATACCCTGGTTCATTTCCCATTATGGGCCATCTTCAGCACATCTGAAGGAGCAGCCCTACTTGGTCACAAAGGCAGGAGTGATTGACAGAGGACAATGTGTTTCTTAAACTTGCATTTCGACCACATTATCTCTGTGCTCTGACTGTGAAAAAGCCAATTTTAAAGTGACAATTTGCTTCTGCACTGTCCTATCATTATTTTCACAGGATGAAGACTTCAGTCTTATTTGTCTGATTTAATTCTGTCCTACACTCTCTTTTTGAGCTGTTTTGGCTTATTTTTGACCAGTGCATTAAATTACGTTCTATAGTTGCCCCAGCTATATGTCTTATTTTCTAGTGTAAATACTGAATGGAGTTTCATCTTATTTGTTCCTTTTTTTTTTATTGTGACTGTGGTGGAAGTCAAGTCTTTCTCTGTCCCAGTCTTTCTCTTTGAGCATCTTTTTATGAGTCTTCCTGCTGTCCTGAATCCAAACTTTTCTATCTCTTTCCCGGTTAAAACTTATTTCAAGTTTGTGCATGATAATGCTGGAATCAGGCATTGGTGTTTGATGCAACTACTCAAATTGTTTAAAGATTAAAGGCATTTTAAACTTACAAAGTGTTATTTTGATTTCCGAGTTTGCATTCATTTTGAAGTCAAGTAGCATAAGCTTTCAAGAAGCAGCTTTCATTCGTAGTGAAAACTGCTACTCACCACCCCCAAGTTCAAAAGTTGGAAAGGAGGGATCATGAGTGGTCCTGGCTGCATGTGTGCTAGGTATTGGTGTGAATGCACATCCTTCCTTGTGTAACAGATTCTGGAGCCCTGTTTCATAACCGTGGTAGGTTAGATACTTTCCTCAGATACTGGAAATACGGTGCTTTGACTGCTTTTTGCTTTCCTGGAGAGTGCTCTGCTGTTGTGCATATTTA